CATTTCCAGCATCTGTGTATCCTTGCGGTCGTAGCAGATGTGATTGAGGATGTCTTCGTCGGAGACAACTCCTAGGGCTCTGAAAACTATGGCTATTGGTATCTCGGTCTTGATGTATGGTAGTGTGCATTTAATGGTCTGGCCGAAGCCGCCTTTGGAACCCTCGCCCTTCTCATACAGCTTCATCTGCATACTTGAGATGAGTCTTGAGCCCTTCTCGACAGCGCTTCGGATCTCAGCAACGTATGGTGTATTGCTTTGAGTCTTCTTGAAGACTTGTACGATGTTGGCCGCGCTCCTCTCCTGCGCGATGAGTACCTTTTCGCTACCGTTTATTACGAAGTATCCTCCTTGGTCATATGGGCACTCGCTATAGGCATACAGCGCTTCTTCTGGCATGTCTTTTAGAACGCAATACTTGGACTTCAGCATGATCGGTAGTTTTCCAATGAAGACCTTGATGGGTTCAGGATCGGGTTCTCCGTCCTCATTCTCCCAGTGCAGGTATGTGCCACCAGTCGGTTTTTGGATGAAGTCGCCTTCTAGACCAGCAATCTCTTCATCACTGGGTTCCATGATGGGCTTTTCCCGTGCTATCGACTTCTTCATGGTCATCTCAAGGTATAGAGGGCTCGAGTATGTAAGACCTCGATCGCGCGCTTCGAACGGGAATAGCGTCATGGTACTACCATCAGATTCGGTGATTGCGGGTCGTGAGAGCAGGACAGTGCCAAACTTGATTTCGTACCTCCTGAGCACTGGGGCCTCCGGCTCATCTTCTGACTGTGGCAGATTCTGATCGAGTGTCAGGAGCGAATTCTCCGAAATCAGTTCTTGCATCGTAGTCGAGACGAATTCGTCGAAAGAGTCCAGCTGCTGCGATACCAAACCCTTGGTATCAAAGAAGGATGAGACGACCTGCCAGCAGTCCTCAGCTGTGATCCCCTCCTCTTCCTCCTCGAGGTATGCATCATCGTAGGTTTCATCGTATGTAGACATGATCGCGAACACGGAATCTGATTTTGCAAGGCCCCTTCAAAGTCTTTTTAGTCGACCCGAGACTTAAGGAGGCGCAGAGGCAAAGATGATTGAGCTGCGCGCGGCCGCAGCGCAAGTCTCAGGCCTTCTCCACCCTGGCCAACATAAAAAGAACGTGGTCGGAAGGTAGCTCCTTCACAGCTGTGCAAGACAAAGATGAAAGGAAGGTGATGAGTTGAGGCCGGTGTTGATGGCTACTTTAAGTGAAGGGAAATTCCAGACACCACGCACTGTCTTTGAGCCGCATGTCCTTAGCGCAGTTCCAGAAAATCTTGGCATTTTCGTCCAAATTGACTTGGCTCCTTGGTGTGGCGTGTTTTTAGTATCTACTCCGCAGCTTAACGTCAAATTCTTTATGGACAGTCAATCTAGGTAGCTGCTTCACAGCACACAGTCTAGCTCTGTGATATGACAACATCTCTTTGTCCTGAAGTATGTGTGTCAAAGATGAAGATGAAAGTGTTTGACTGCGACTACACCTGCCCTATGCTGGGAAGGTGGGGCCTGGATTTCCGGATTGCTAAGCCTGACCGGTTAACATCGGCCATTACTCTGACTCTTCAACCCACTGTACTGTGTCACTGCAGACTTTGGTTTGCTTCACTACTACATGGATCAGCGAGCATGCAAGGTTGGGAAAGTGCGAGAAGAACCTACAGCATAGCTATCAAATGGTCAAAGAAAACATAGCACGGGAGCTGCCCGTTCAACAGCTGCTCATCCTGTCTATATGCCGCTTCGCTGAACCCATCTCATTGACCTCGGTCTGTATGTATATCTCTGAGCATTTTGTTCCTAATTTACACCATAGCATGAGTCACAAATCGTGTCGGGAGCAAAAATAAACTTGTGCTCCTTTAAGCCATTGGTTCCATCTCGAAGAAGGAAGACTAATTCCAAAATCTTCATAGTCCCCTATCTCCCAGAAATGATTGAGAGCTTCGGCGTACCCAGAGATGAGGTGTCTAAATGGGCGGGAGTCACATCAGCAGTCTACTCTCTGAGTCAAGCTGTCACGGGCATTGCATGGGGTCAGGCATCAGATCGCTTTGGTAGGAAGCCTGTCACACTGGTTGCCATGATGTGTATCATGACAACAAGTCTCCTCTTCGGCTTCTCTCGAACTCTTGTATGGGCTATTGTAGCTCGGTCACTGGCTGGTGCAAGTTGTGGGAACGTAGGCATCATCAGAACCATGGTTGCAGAGATGGTACCTTATAAAGAGCTACAACCCAAAGCATTCTCAGTCATGCCGCTTGTGTGGACCATTGGGAGCATCTTTGGGCCTAGTCTAGGGGGCGCTCTCGCAAATCCTGCGTTGAAATATCCAATGGTGTTTGGTGAGAGTGGGCTCTTCGGGACATACCAATTTGCACTGCCAAACCTTGTGGGAGCCGCCTTTTTCCTTGTTGGACTCATGGTCGTACGTATTTTCGGAGCCCATATATTCCCTTTTGGAGCAATTCTTGAGTCTTGAGACATGTCTTGGAAGTCTTTACTATCGAGAAATATTCCAAGGCTCGATGTACATCCTCAAATAGGCAATACTGACGGCGAACTTGAGATTTAGGGGACACTGTTTTTGAAAGAGACATTGGAGACCAAGAAAGATCGACGGGACTACGGTATCATCTTGGGCGATATTCTATTGCTACCATTCACACGCAAGAAGCCTGGGCCAAAATGGTCACTTGAAGGGGAACAATCGGCCTCATTGTTGAAGCACTCGCGCGACTCTTCGGCGGCTTCACTCGATACTGACACCGATGCTCAAGGAAACCGCAAGGCCGTCCCTGTAGTAGCACCTCCGACCTACCGAGAAGTATTCTCACGGCAATCCAACTTGAACCTTCTGACATACAGCCTGTTAGCACTTCACTCTCTCGCATACGACCAGCTACTCCCCATTTTTATGCACTACCCCCAGCAGACAGACCGCTCTATGAATCCAGATGTTCATCTACCCTTCAAGTTCACCGGCGGCTTTGGCTTAAACTCGGATCGCATTGGTCTTCTTTTCACAGTCTACGGGGTCTTTGGCATGCTCATACAATTCTTCGTCTTCGTACGTATTTTCGAAGTCCATCCCTCCTTTATTCCCAAAGCCTTGAGTCTTGAGGCATGTCTTAGGAGTTTCTACTCTGTAGACATGTTCCAAGGCTCAATGGAACCCCTTGAATAGGCAATACTGACTCCGAAATCACAATCAAGCCATCTCTGGCTCGACATTATGGGGTCCTGCCATGTCTCAAAGTCGTTACGACTATGTTTCCGGTTGCCTACATCATCACACCCTTCACCGCCCTTCTCCCGACGCCTACGACACAACAAATCGGTTTACTTGTCGTTTTGATGATCAAATGCTGGGCAGGCATCTTTGCATTTCCGTGCACCACCATCCTCCTGACCAACAGTGCTGTTTCTCTGCGCATACTCGGGACCTTGAACGGTGTGGCTGTAAGTATCAGTGCCATCGGAAGGGCAGTAGGACCTGCAATAGGAGGCTATAGTTTCACAGTTGGAGTAAACAAGGGTTACGGGATCCTGCCCTGGTGGGTTCTGGGGTGCTTTGGTATTCTGGGAGCCATCGCGCCGTGGTGGCTTGTGGAAATGGAAGGCTTTGGTGGTAGCAACGATGACAGTGACAATGACGAGGCTGGCCAAGATGAAGCAATACCACATAATAACAGCGAAGAAGAGGAGCAACCAAGCGCTATCCTCATCGCCAGCGGGCCACTTTCAGAGATGGGAGAAGACCATGACCAGTTCGGCATTGAGGGAAATCCACTTTCTGGCTCAGAAGGTCTCTCAAAGAAAACCCGGGTCGTAGCAGCGGAGTAGCACCTTTCGGCTCCTCTTTCCGATGAAAGCCAAGTCCACACCAGCAAAAACACAATGAAGGAACTCAAGTAAGTGGATGACCGAGCAACGGGTTTGTCAAAAAAGGCGTGGACCTTGAGCAAGCGGAATCTTTAGCGTGTGCAAAACGCATTTCAGAGCTTGGCATCCTAGCTCTTCCCTCCATCCATACAGTTTTGTATGGGATCATCGACAGTGACTAATCCCATGTTGCAAAGACTACTACAATCGATAGTTTGGAATTATTTAATGTCGCATTGATTCTTCTGAACTGTTATCTCTTCAATTAAGTTTCCTCGCCCGCAGAATTGGCCCCGATAATAGCTTCTTATTGCGGTTCGTCCATCGAGACGGGTCTTCATTCAAGCTCGTGCTGAAAAGCTTCATTATTATCTTCAAACTAACACCCTCCAGCAGCCTGATGTTGATACTCTGCTGTCTTCTTATGGCATTCACTATGCTAAATTGCATGCCTTAGCGATCCTTCGAAGTTAAATTGAAAGTAACGATCTCATTTAGGGCTTCAATATACTGAACGTGAGCTTAACAGAATTGTAATATGGAGAATATGGAGGGAGAGTCTTTATTCTGCTATGTCCACGAATGTTGCCGCAGATGTTCGAGTAGACGTTCTTTTGCTGCCAGTAGGAAGACGACGAGGTCGACCGATAGGAAGAAGATCTGGTTCGTTGATTACTCAATATCTTCCATGACCTAGCCGCTTAAGCACCGACAAGTTACACAACACGATCCTTGTTTGCTATCATTCATACTGTCGACCGCTGATTTACATACTACACGCCTTTGTGTCTTGTCCTTTCTACCTTCAGGTGACGACCGTGGGCCTTTTAAGCTGACCTGGACATCGCGGACACTACGAGAACCGCATCTCGATGGCTAGCATTTTTCCTTCAGGGAACATTGCTGATGAAATTCGAAGATAATAAAACAGTGGGCTTGCACGGCAGCCACGATCTTTCCAAAGGCCCAATTCATTTCCAACGATTGATGGTTGGTACCTTGGTCAATTATCTGCTTCTCTAGCTGCAAGCAGAGATCAAATAGATTCACAAAGCAATGTCCGCGCCATCGACAATCCTTCACTACTCAACATGTGATGGCACTTCTCGAGGCAAAAGATTAAGGGTACTCTCGAAACTGTCGGTCCGCCTAATGTCAACCGTTCGATTTTCAAGAAGGTCCTCTCGATGAGGATAGAACACTGTATAAATGGTGCGGATGTCACCCTCACTTGCACCCGTCGCTGAGGCTATCTGTCGGCAAGATATAGGAGAATGTCTCAAACATGAGGCGAGGTAGATACTCAAAGCTGCAATATCCATAACACTGTGGGCATCGAAGTACGGTCTATCCACCAATACCGTAAAGACTTGGCGAGAAACCTCGATGACATTGCTTCCGTGCTCGATTTCGAGCCTGGAGGCTATGATCTCCCAGAACGCATCGGTGTACCCCGGCGGAGGCCATGCCAGACTCGGTAGGCTCCCCACCGCGGCACGCCGGGGATCCTCGCGCAAGAGGAAGAGGCATTCCCGGTCGATGACGGTTTCCCGCTCGGGGTAGAACAGCCTGTACGTATCGAGGATTGCGCGCCGGGTGATCGCTATGACGGTAGAGATCTGCTCCGGAGACACAGGATGGCGGACGAGGTGCGAGGCGACGAAGACGGAGACGGCGGCTTTGGACCACTGGGTGCAATCGCGGAGTCCGTCCATGTGGAATGCACGTCTCGCGATCAGGTGTGCGAGTCGGCGTGCTGCGTAGTTGAGGCCGAGTCGGTGGGAGGACCATCTTGTGTTTCTTGCCAACCGATTAAGGCGGCCTTGGTCGTCGTCGTCGTCGTCTTCTTCTTCTTCGCTGTCGTCGTCGGTATCGTCGTCGCTAGCATCATCAGCACCATCGCCTTGCGTGATTCCATGCTCAAGGTAGGGTCGCGGCCGCGCTGGGAAAAATACACTTCTGCATACGGGGCAAGTGTTATGGTCGTGAAGCCAAGTGGCGACGCAGTGAGAGCCGACGAGGTGGTTGCATGCTAGATTACGTTTCGCCGTTAGTATTGCCTATTTGAGGAGGTATATCGAGCCCTGGTCTCGAGAGTAAAGACTCCCGAGACATGTCTCAAGACTCAAGATTTGCTCCAGCAGGGGAAATGTGGGCTCCAAAAATACGTACGAAGGCGCATCAAGCATTCGATGATACCGGCTTCGGAAGACAACGACCCACATTCCTCCAGGCACTGGAAGACGTATAATTCGCGTCAGTAGTTATCAAGGCTTCTTCTTGGGATGAAAATTGAGTTTCGCGAGACAGGTCCCGGGAGTGTTTATTGAATCTGCGACGAGTAACTTATCGCAATTCAGGATAAGTGGATACGGCACGATCATGAAGGAAAGCGGCTCGGAAAATAGACAAACAACTTACTATCATACAGCGTTGACCGCTGTCGGACTTGATGCTGTTTTCTAGTTTGAGGAGTTGGTTCAAAAACTCCTTGGCCATGTTGAAGTGAAAGAATGAGGATGGGAGAGAATGGGATACCTGAAAGAGTGAAGTGAATGACACGCGCCAGGCGGAGAAAGTGTTATAAATGAGCAATTCGTGTTGTACGCCTTTCAGAAATGTGTTATGCTCTCTTCGCCGTTGCCACTGGGGGCCATCAACATCTTTGTGCGACTTGATCTTTGCGGCAAGAAGGAAAATGCTGAAGCTCTTTCGTGTATCACGAATCTGGACAAACAGGCATAAAACCTTCATCCAAAGCTATTGAACAAATACCCACATCGTCAACACCGCCAATGCCAAATCTGCCGTCTTCAATCCCATCAATTTGTCCTCTTCCGACTCAGCCAATTCCCAAGACTGCTTCTCCGACGTCTCCCCTCCCCTTCCCCATTTCCTCGCTCCCTCGCAATCTCTCCATCTACCATTTCATCCTCCTGCGCTCCCTGCCTTTCCCGCACAGCGCTCTCATCGGCCCTAGACTCCTTCCTCTTCCTCCCGATCCTCATCTTCAACGGCGGCGGCTGCCTCGCGATCCGCTCCTTCATCGTCTCCGCGCCGTAGAACCCCACCAGCGTGCTCTTGTCCGCCGGCTGCGTATACAGTTTCTCCTCCGCCCATGCCCTCAAGGCGGCCAAATATTCCTCCTCCGTAGCATGGCCGCGGTATTTGGCTGGCGTGTAGGCTGGGAGCAGGGACGCACCGTCCGTGTCTTGGCTTTGTTGATTGAGGTTGTTTTGGGGCGGTCTGAACGGGTTGGTGGGGGATCCTCTGGGGGAGGAGTCTGTGGGCGGTAGGTTCGGGGCGGATTGCAACCGCGTACGCTGGCGAGCTGCGGGGGCGTAGAATTCGGGATGGGAGTCGAAGGACGGAGGATCATCGTTTGCGGGTGGGGGAAGGAGAGGAAGGGTATCGTTTTCTGTGGCCATTATTGTTGTAGGTCACTTGCAGTATGGGCGTTTTGAAGGTCAATTGATCGAAGTAGAGGATTTTGTAGTCGTGAAAAATGCAGGGAATTGATGATGTGCATCATCTCATCTGGCAGGATTCGCACTGAGACCGTCATGATTCCCGGTGGCAAAAGGAGTCTAGATCGCTTCTGCAGCCCATGAGCGGCCAGAGATTTGGCACGAGGCAGCCGAGAGCCTGCACCTTGACCGACACGGCCCGTGTGCGCCGATCATCTTCAGTTCGGGCTTTGCGAATTGCAAGATGTTTTAGGGGTAGGTAAGTATGATGGCATACTGAGATACAGAGAACAAAAGTCGGAAAATAACCATTCGGTTCAACGCCATGTTGTTGCTTGCCCCCTGTAGTTCACGTTGTCATCAAAATTATTGCCTCAGTTTGCTCAGACATGTCTAATACCGCCTACTGTACCTTTTACCTCTTTGGGCGATGGTCCGAAGTTTTTCCGGTGGTAGGTGGTACGGTCAATCCTCGGCAGCTTCGGGAGGCTACAGGTCTCTCTTGCTGACACTCGCTATAAATGTGTCTCAATTTCCAAATCTTTAGTAATTATTGTACCGCTGTTGAACGATGGAACGAACTGCTGTTCTAGTACGATCAAGACTGGCGTGTTCAGTATTTGGGATGTCATCCTCGGTGTGGGTTTCAGAGTTCGGTAGCCTTGTCGTATTTCTTTCTGCCTGTCCGTGGTGCTCATTGCTGCTGAAAGCCAGTAAAAACCTCTCCACAGATGGCACGGCAGCCATGACATGCATTTGCCGTCTCATCGTAACGATTTTTTCCTCATCTGCATCAATAGCGATGATCCAATTTTTTGTCATTGATGGAGTCTGATAGTGATATTCCATGTGGTTTGATGCTGTTTCCGGTAGCAATCGGTGTGGTGTGTATGATGTGTTGTAAGGTGGCTTAAAAAGTGGCAATGGAAGCAATTCAGTTTCCTCAAAGAAAGAAAAAGAGGAAGAGGAGAACCAAAAAGGAGGGTTTTCTGTTCTTGCATGCTTCCTCTAATCATGAAGAATGGATTTCTAGGTTCGAGAACCAAGCAGATCTTCGCCCCTCAAAGACTGCCACTGTTCTCAGATAGCCTCTGAACAGTACGAACAATGGTTGAACAAATGAAGGATTGTTTGCGACATGCCTCAAACATCGATGTACGTATCTAATTCCATCGCAACTGATTCGCGCGGTATTTCCCGGCCTCCTTCGCACCTGCAATCCTGAAGTCCTGAAGTCCTGCTGCATGCATGACGCCACTCTGCGTTTTACTCCCTAGCTCAGCCTCACAGGTTTCATGATTAGGACTTCACTGTCTTTATAGCTTTCCCACAATTTTCTGTTCATCTTGATTTACCTTTACTACTCTCACACCAAGAGGATTCAAGAAGTACGCAGACTACCACATTCACTCCAATGTCTTTGTCCGACTCTTTCAGTGTACCTAAGGCCCGTTCGAGTACTCATTCAGCCGAACAAGCCCACATACGCGGTACTGTCGTTTTTACGTGGTCCTTGATGCTCATTATCGTTTCTCTTCGCTTCGTGGCACGCCGTCTTTCAAAAGTCGGTCTCTGGTATGATGACTGGCTTATAATACCAGCCACTGTATGCCTATCCTAGATTTCATATCTCCTCCTGCCTGTCAAAAGTAAGGGCACAAGAGTTGAATCAGTGTGCTTATTAGCTTTCCGCCACGACATGCTTTGCCTCTGCCATCTGGAGTGAGTGACCTAGTCACGTCATCCTTGGCTCCATGAGCAGCCCCAAGCTTACACTTACGCCTAATCAACAGTGACACAGCATGGGCTGGGCCAGAACGTCTACATCCTGTCACCAAACCAATTAGATACATTCTTGAAGGGCATGTTTATTTCGGAGATTGGTTGGCCTATCTCCATTTGCATGGTCAAATGTTCTATCCTAGCTTTCTATTGGCGTCTCTTCAGCAGTTATGGTCGATCATTCCGAATTAGCGTCTGGGCTTTTCTTGCGCTGATGGTCAACTGGGGAATCGTTGTGGTGAGTGTCAGTCCCTTGATCAACCTTTAAGCTTAACACAGCGCTCACAAATCTTTTTCGTCCATCTAGGTAATCGCGACAGTCTTTCAATGTTCACCTAGACATAGACCTTGGAGTGAAGGTCGATGCGTCAACAACACCTATTGGTTCTTTGTGGGCTCCTCGATACCCCACATCATCACCGACATAGCCTTGATCAGTCTCCCAATGCCACTGATCTGGAAACTCCAAATGCGTCGATCACAAAAAGCAACCTTGAGTTTCATTTTTGGTTTGGGCGGCTTGTAGGTTTCTTGATCCCCCCTTTGCTCCCGGAGTAGCTCGACTACGCTCGAGTAAGATATAAGTGTCCTCGCTGAACCTTGTTCGAATTGCAGCGTCACGATTGTCGCCATTGTCCGCTTTGTTTATCTCATTAAAGCAGATGCGGAACCCGTGGATGTTACCATCAACCTGTCCAATATTCTCATCTGGACAGGTGTCGAGGTTAACATGTCAGTCGTCGGTGGTCAGTACCTTCAACTCATCTGCTGTTCATCGATCGCTTTGGGGGGGTTGTTGGAAAGGAGAAACACGAAGTAGCTAATATTAAGTCGCTTTTCCCCTATTAGCATGTCTTCCGTCCCTCCGCCCAATAGTGGCATTCATCTCCGACAAGTTCAAGCAACTGCGCAATCGCAAATGCACCCACACAAAGGGCTCAAAGCTACTCATTGGCACGTTGAGACCAGGCGATACAGCCACCGTCTTGCCATTATCGAGCAAGAAAAGCTGGGATGATGGGCATCGTCCCATACTGGATTCGTCATTCGTGGTAGAGATGGAGGCAATAGTGCCACATTTTGAGGCGAAGGCACCAGGGCGCTGGATGTCAGAGGTCGAAGCAGTCGAGCCGGCGGTGGCAATGGGAGCTGAAAAGACAGTAGCAGGAATGGGTGAGACATCCGTGTGATGGTGATACAGTGTTCCCTAAAGGAACATGCCTGGTACACAGCTACTGATTGGGAAGCTATCGACAACTCGCCCAACGCGGTCCATTTTAAAAAGGATACGAAGAGTGAATGGGCCCACTACCTAGTGATGGAACTGATTTCAGAACCTGGAGCTCATTGCCATGGACCAGAAATCCGCCAAAGAAATCAGCTTGCTTTGCGTCAACTTTGAAGCTCGTGTGTAGTGTGCTCTACTTGATCTATGGCTGCGCAACTTTACTGGCTCATGTGTTTCCACATCCCGGTCTTCTCTACTCGATGAATCCCGGCTACAATTCACAAGTTTCCTTTATTCAAGTGACACAGTGAATGGACGGGCTGTCTGCGCTTCACCTCATGCGGACTCTCTCAGTTGACGCAAGCTTTCATTTCACGCCTCTACAAGATTGTGCACTCCACTTTTTGGTACCAGAACCTTCAACAGACAACGTTATATTCTTTCGCTGTGAGACACGCATTGTTGACATAAATAACTTCATTGCTATTTGGGCGATCATTTCACAGCATAATCTCATGATGACAACTTTCTTTCACGAGGATCACAGCAAGTGTAGCAATGCTCCTAGAAAATGATTTGATGAACTATAAAAATAAGTTCAAATGATGACCTCCTTCGTCAGCTGATTCCAAACTTGATCATGACTGCAAATTCAAGCGGTAATACAAGCGTCACTTTTTCACGATGCACTATCAACACCCTTGTCGAACGTGATCAAGCATGCAGCAGATCCTTATCTACTAGACTTTATCATTCAGCGCAGTCAGATTAAAAAGTGTCCGACATCTCTTCATCCGCCATGGAAGGAGGGGATCTACTGCGGAGGTACTCATCATTGCCGGACGCCAACGTACATTGCCTGCCTCGTCTACAGAAAATACGTTTACCCATCTGACTGCTAGGCTTAGGGGGAATGACAAGAACTCAATCAAATACAGTATGATTCAACATCACCTGAAGGAACCTAGCACTCAATATAAAAGAGAGCTAGGATCTATTCAAGGTTTGTAATAGCCAGCCGAGCGGTGAGGATTGCAAGAAGTAAGTCCGCTCAGCGATGCGGAAATCGATGCCAGGGAGCTTTTTGTGCAAGTTTCCTTCCTTTCATATTATCTGGCAGCTGGAGAAGTATGAAAGCCTCACGGGCGTCTGACCATGAAAAACCAGACCCTCGCCGTTGGGACTTTCGTAGGCAGCTCACCTTTGTGCCAGAACTTTTCAACAGCGACTTTGATTCAAAAACTCATTCTCTGCATACATCTATCGTCTCTCGAACACGCATCAAATATCTCAGTCTCGGTCAGAATTTCAAACAACAAGGCCTACGAGACCCGATCGAAGCGGTTCTACGGATCTCACTGTTGGATGTGTATGAAATGCGACATTGCGTTTCGCACATCGAAAGGGAAGGGCCACGGCTGCCCAACGGCGCGAAGATCCAAAGCGTACAAGCCCAACATGACGCAACGGAGAAGAAAGAGGATGCTGGAACTGAGGTTAAGGATCTACCGAAAACTGAGAATGTGATGTTGCCGTTCTAAATAGAAAGGTCAGGGACACAATTGTCCGAAACGCAAAAAGATAGCCAAGGGAGAAGCGAAGGGAAAGGGGACTGAGGCTGGTGCTGGTGCTTCGGCTGAGAAGACAGCGTAAGTACTACTGCCATTCCCGCTTACTGCCGCTAACGTTTCTAGATCTGCCTGAGTGCAGGCAACATGTATTGGTGAGACCATGTCATCCTACATCCTCCTCCGGTTGAATATTTTCCTCTCTTCAACACTCCGCGATTTCTCCTCTCGCCGCATTCAAAATCTGTTGTATGAGAACGCCGGAGATATGACCCAGGTGCAGCAGCACTATTCCCAAGGTCGCGAAATCATCGATGCGAAACAACAAGAGGCCGTTTGTACACAGATCGGAAGCAAGGTTCGTGTTCTTTATCCAACGATCGTTCCCTCTACCGAATCCATCAAGAATCTGGCCTGTTCCGCCGCTAAGGAAATACACCAATTTGGAGCAAATTCTCTGCAAGATTGAAGTTTATGCGGCCAGAAACATGAAGATGCATAGCAGTGTCTTGGATTTGAGGGGCAAAGCAAAGTATGACGAGCTTCTCGTAGTTATGAGAGCTGAAATCGATTTCGATTCCAGCCATGACTTGTTTCATTCTCCCACCTCGTGCACCGATCAGCCTTCGATCTTCTCGAAGCCTCCACCCCTCTCTACACTACATTCACGGCTGCGTGGTCTTCGCTACAGCCGGGTCGTCAATGGTGGGTTGGTCAGCTGTCGAATACAGCAGTGATTCGAGTCATTTTTTACAGTTACGTTGACTACCCGTTTTCATCTTTCACGAAGACTTCTTTCTGAGAAGAAGTTCCAGGTGTTCCCAATTCACTTTTTTTCTTTAATTCTCTACCTGATTTTCGAAGCTGTCTTTTTTTGCAGTACGAGGCTCTCAACAAGGACAAGATCAATAAGAACCACTACAAGGAGTACCTGGCAATGATCGGTGATAATCTCCAGAGTCTGTCCACAACGAAGCAGCATGACATGAAGACTGCTACGCATCAGGACCCCCTCACCGCCTCAGCGGTAGCAGCGAGACTTCAGGGAGGGATGAGTGACAAGATCCTGATCTCCAACGCAGAGCATTCCAAGATCTTATCTCAGCAGACGGCCTTCTACGAATCAGCTGTCGAGATTGTGCGCCGAGAGCTAATCCAGTATGGGATGGTCGTTAGCATGATCGAAGCACTCACAGCAAACGAAAAGTCATGTCTTGTTGCAATCATTGCATACGCCTCGGGTTTTTGAAACGCATTGGTGTGGATTGTGACGGCAGGCATCTATCAGTCCTATGGCCTCGCAATTCAGATGTGTCACCTTGTCTCAAGCTCAGATGCGACTACACCAGGACTAACTGGATCCAGAACGTGAGACATACTCGTTTTCTTGGAAATCCTGGCTCTGGCATAGCCTTTTCCAGAAAGTGTTTGAATTCGCAAAATCGTCACAAACATCGTCACCTGTCTAGTCCAGCTTGATAAGCAATGGGGTTCGAAAGAGATAGTTTGTTGAGAAGAGCGAGTCGCAAGGACTGTGCTGATGCGCAGGACAAGCGTACCGGAGAATTAATAAGCGATATAGAGCTAAAGAGGAAGGAGAAACAAAAAGCGCTGAAACTCTACGAGCAACGGAGGATGGTACAGGATCAGGGAGCAGAGATTATAGTAGGCTTCGAGCCCCTTTTGCAGAAGACACAGGAGCTACAGAGGCTGGAGGAGACCTTGCAAAAGAAGCGTAGTACTGTCCACGATGTATGGCAATACCTCATGCGCTTTGTCTTACATATGTGTGCGCGATTCAACGTGGTGCTGGCTGGGCACGCGTACACATTGCCCGTCACTCGCATAAGAAACATGCTCGGCTACTGACACCAATCTTGGGCTTTACCCGGCAAATCTGTGTATACCAACACCGATGCATAGCTTTCAGTCCCCAAGTAACTCATCTCTAATATCGAGATCACTGAATTCTCGGAATGCATTCTATCGACATCTCCGTCTACCTTTACGAGTATCTCAACGCCTCTTTCAACGCGAAAGAAAGTCTGAGGCTGAAATCAGTGATCTCCGTGACAGAGACACGCAAGGCGCCGACAACGGACTGTTACTGACGGTACTTACGTCAATGAGTACGGTGCAGATGAAGACTGCTGCGACTCTGATGGGGAGAATGACAATCCAACAAAGGGCATCGTCGAGCGTCAAGCAATTGTTTCAATTGCAAGATTCACTGGCTCCCAATAGTCATCAAAACGGCCACCCCTACACACACATCGTCGAGGCCGTGGGTGGGTCTTACTTCAAGCCCATCCTGGCAGAGACAAACATAATACGCAAGACTCTTACGGCATTCCGGTACGTGGTTACTTTCCTGGGCTATAAACTCTATATTAACTACGAAGTAGGCTCCGATGCGACTAGTGCTCTGCCAGAGCTTGATAGGACCTTTGATAGAAAGGCTGTCCTGCAGGCACTGCGTGACAAACCGCCAGCCGGGCGTGAGGCGGTATGGGGTAGATACATTGTCAAAATCGATGCAGAGATTGAGCAAAGACAGGAGGAGGTGCTTCAAGACATCCGTGATATAACGGAGAAGAGCTGGACTGCGGAAGAACGCCGGAAGTGATGGTCCAAGCCTATTGGTTGTCCGGAGATCGCTGAGTTCCTCGAAACGCTCTGAGACTACTTGTGGTCGGTTGAAAGCGCATCCGATGTCGCTCATCTGTACAAATGGAGCGGATTTTTCCAGTCCTGGTTATGGGCTAAATGGCATTATCCTACGGTTGCCTCAAAGCAAGCGAAATTTGGCCATACAGCAGATCGGACAAATGCGTCTCTTCGCTTGATGTTCACCAAGTTTGGACTCGAGACTGGTGATGAGCTCTTTATGAGCGAAGATATATTCCGTCGGTTGGATTACGATGCGATCCTCGACTGGGCAAAATTCCAAGTCAAACCAAAACATCAGTAACGCGAAAGGATTAAGAGGCTGTAGAGCAGCAAGGTATGGCAAAGATTCTCTAAGCTCCTGTCCTTGTTTTCCTTTCCGGCTCAGATCCATGCCCTTGTTCCGGCTTCGTGGATCTTGCGAAAGAGAAAAGACTGTTTGCCTCGTCCAGACTACCAACGACCGAAAGTGCATGGTCAGAGGCTGATGTGAGTTTTGAGCTCATGATACTGAGCGTCAAGCACCAAGCTTCACTTTTGTACATGCTCGATTTTTTCCCCTCCTGACATCTTCATAATTTCCACCTTCCCAGACTCATGATTAGCAAGCTACAAGCAAGTCTTGCTCAGCAAGCATGTTGCGGAGAGACTGTTATGATATGATCTCTATGATCTGGAGCAACACGACAGTGGCAGCATGACCAAATTGGTCAACATCTCAGGGGATCTCAACCGGTATTCAAATCTTCGTTTTTTGTCAGGCCGACAAAGAAGCGCGCATTGTTAGACTCAGTGGGATTTGTCCTGCATTCAAGTTCACTTCCTGTCCTTTCAACAAGGATCTTTCCAGAGCCGAGACAGGCCCCAAAGTCAGATATCTCGCTTCTGATCATAGTCATACTTGCCCCTAGCCACTCGCCCTTCGGTCATCTTACATTGACTCCAAATTCTGGTACCACATGATGACGATCATTAGTAAGTTAGTGGTCTCGATCCGAGTACAAAAGAGTGCACAGTTGTGATGCGAAAGAGCTACACCATTGAAAACGTCCCTAGCTTTTCAAGATCCTGATCGACGACACCCGCGCTGGATCAGGTACATGAGTCTCAGAGAAGGTGCTGTTGGCTCTGCTGTTGTGGACTATCATACCTACTAGCATACTCACACTATTGTTGCACAGTTCCTCCGACAAGCTACTCTGTTCGTTGAACTCAACAAGCCCACTTTGAGGCTATCGATGCTGTTTATTGGAGGCGATTGACCACTCAAATTCTAGTAAATTGATCGATGTGTCGGGTACAAAGGGCATTGTGTTGCGTTGCCGCGGGGCAAGCGTTGCTCTAGAGATGGTTCTGAGACCTCAATAGAGGAAAGACCTCAGGAGTGTGTTACCCATTTGGTTATCACCATGCCTTGACTCCGAGTGTTGGCGTACTGAACGAATCATTCACGATACACGCGTCGACGTCTTTCTGAGAACTTCAAACGACACGGGTACCTGTATCCAAGATTGAATGGAAAGCAATTCTAGGAGGTCTGAGCGCCTGTGAGGTGTGCCAAACTCGACCATGCCACACCTCACCTGTCGAACAACCTGATGTTCCCTCCAAAGAGTGGCATCGAAAGCCTCGAGAATGCCAAGCCAGTTGATATGAGGGTACGCCTGCTGGAGCTCAAGAAGTCTGCCCAATAAGGACTAGTCCCAATGGAAGTCTAGCCATCAGTCCGTCCATACGACAATTAATGGTACACCGGTCGTCAACATCGGTCGTGGCGGAATTTCGCGCTCAACATAAGACAAGATACGGCTGTGCGAGATGAGCAGGATCGAGTACTCAAGCTCATGGAGGACGGCAAGTGGGAATTCTCCGAGCATTTGGCGCGATAGTTGAGACTGTGCAGTCATTACATTGCAGCGTATACTGCAACTGGTCCGAATTGATGGGAGCGATTCGCTTGACCATGAAATATAGATCGGCTCCAAAATTTCTCGTGAATCGCAGCCTTCTTCATTGACATTTGACTACAAGCGCCCTTATTGATACTCTCAGTTTTTGAATGTATTCAAAACATCTCAAGGGAGGAACCGGTGGTAGCTCGAGATGAACGTGCACCTCGACTTCAATCAAGGAAAACCTGCCGAGATCCGCGTATTTCAAACAGAAGTTTATCATACTGCGCCGGCTTCTTTGCGGCATCGCCGTCTTGCTATGAGACACTCCAATGTCTCAGTCAATCCTGTTGTCTACCATCATGTAATGCCCAATGATGCTCTCGTGAAGTGCTTCAAGGTAGACGATGAGCCTAACGTTCCTCCTGAGGTTGTGGTTTTTCTTTCGAAGCTTTCCCACAGCCAGAAGGCTCGGTAGGCTCGGTAGGCTCGGAACATATACATTCGCGTTCGTAAGCGAACAGAGCTGGTTGCTCCGTGTTCTCATTAATATTCCACGCAGTACCGGGAAAAAATATAATCTGTGATCAATGCGATGATTCCAGAAGGAGCATAAGTGCTCTGCCGCCTCGTCTATCTCCTGCAATTCGACTGCTTGAGGTGACAACAGGCGTGGTTCTATGGGGTGGCGTAATCCCTAGCACCCCTCTGCTTGCTGGCTCTCATGGCAAATAAAGACGAGGGCGTCTTGGTTTTTCTTTGCTTGGGAGAGCTGAGGAAGGAAGAGGCGAGGAAGTGCTATTTGAGAAAGGAACAGGCGGGTGCTTACGAAGCACCATTGTTACCTACATTGCCCCTGCATAATCAGAGTTAGCATGCTAAACTCTACATAGCACTGAATGCCAGTCAATTTGCTAAAATATATTGCCTGTACATACTAGAGTCTTTCAGTTGAACGGACATGACAGGAACGGCGCAAGTACGCACAGCAACTAGCAACCCAAGTCACCCTCATCATTATCAACACGATTTCAGCACAGCTCCTACAGGCTGGTAGAGAGGGTTGTTTGCCTACCTTGGGGAGCTATACTGATAATTGCCATGTCATCACTATGACTCATCCTCTTCCACGCTATGAGTTGGAATGGTTCGGGCGTCGCTACTTCCACGATACCACTTCCTTCTATTGTGAGGAAGGTTTCGCCTGTAGCTGTCGTTGCGGTGTTTAAGCGCGCCTCAGTCAGATCTCATGGTTCTCATCTGACGTTTGATCCCTCCTTTTCCACGTCGTTACACTGTGCACATTCTCCTCTTCATCGCGACTCCTACAAACTCATTTCCCATAGCATTCATCCAATACCAAGCATTCTCGTATAATCGCAACCTAACATGCCTGCCAATTGGATTCCCACCTCAAACGATCACTATCACGCCTACCGCAATAACTCTCTGCCTGGCCAAGAGAGGTAAGGAGGTAAAGCTGACTGTGGAGTAATCTTCGCAAAGAACGTCGCCAAATAGTCTCCCTCGAAGAAGGAGCTCACAATTGGCAACCCGTCGAAAGTGACGTTATAAAATCTTTCGAGACACCGAATTGTGGTCAAGGGCAAGAGTAACAGTGATTGCCAAGTCAGCGTGGCGAGTAAATCATTGGGAGGAATCACAAAGACAGCGTTGGCGAGCTGATTAATTAGGAATTCAATATGTGCCATCACCAGCAAGGAGAGAGGAACGGATAGCCCAACCAAGGATGGCTTCGAACCATGTCCCACTCACAGACACAACAAATCATCCGAGAGGACCTGCAGTATTGGCATGACACGTATGCTGTCGCCCGGATAAGAAATATCGTCTGATTTCATGTCCAAATTATGCAAAATATATCCAGCCGGGGGACTCCACTTATTTCCGACATGTCGACATGAATATATCTACTTACCTGGAAAGCGGACATGGAGCAAACATTATCTAGGGATTCGTGTCACCCGTCACCGAAACGAAGGATAGATGCACGGAGATCATACCAGGGTTCCATAAGCACATTCGGGAGTGATAGGGCAAGGTTCTAAGTCGAGGGAAAGCAACGGATGATTCCATTCACGACCAGGATAAACTCTGAGCATCGGACGACGCCGCAATTTATGGGAATTCCATAGCCATACCCTATCAGCGGGGAGACATAAGGGTGACGAGGCCGAAGATCCTGCATGGATCGACGCCGAACAAAAGCGGCTCAATCCGTGTTGTGAAGGATGGGGAGACCCTGAACGACCTAGAGTCGAAGAAATAAAGCGAGGTTGTCCGGGCTCACTCCAGCCAAGAGGCGCTCAAAGTGACACCCTCGGGCCCGCGGAGCAAAATTTGGCCCAACCCTCTACAGATTCCCCACCGGCAGGGGGTTGGACGTGGAGATTTTGCATTCGCGATCAAGAGCAAGGGAAAAAAGCTTGGTAGGATCTCGATTCGATGAGTGATCGGATCGATTTCGTTACATTCCAATCAAACCGCCGCCCGCCAATGGGACCGCCAAAGGAGATCGGTCTTTGGTCCCAAGGCTGGGAGATGAGCGGAAGCAGGGCGGTGAGGCAAAGCCAAGACGTGGCCATGAAAGATGAGACACCACGTCAATCCCATGGAAGGATGCGAGTGATGCTGACGGTATGTCAGATTCTGTCGAGGAGCCGGTCAACCCAGCCCCGAAGACGACCCTTCGAGTCCCCATCATCTACTCGAGTGCGTAGCCCGTTGGTGCCCGATGATGTGCACCAAGAACGAGTCTTTGGTGGAAACGAAAGGCTGGGCGAGTAGCCTGATGCCTCTGGGGGAAAGGGAGCAGAGATGACGGTGTTGAGTTGGGGGGGGGGGAGGGGGGGCTGTGGGTTGTTATGGATTATGCTACCAGCCTTGTCAGAGTATTGAAGATCCCCGTGCTATCGCGAAGAGCGCCTGCTGCCACGCTCGTAGGTCAAGGCGCCCCGCAGGCTTGTCAAGCCCAAATAGACATACATGGAGGAAAGTTCAATGCAACCTGTCAAATCTCAGATAGCTTGCACAAAAAGTATGGTGC